CGATGTGGCCTGGTCTGGTCGGCTCCTGTGCGTCGGTGGCGCTGTTGCGTTTCGCTCGGTGCTCCTCCCACCCCGGGCGGGGCGCCACCCTCCGACTCCGGGGCGCGCCGTCCACCACGGGCGGTGCGCCTGGCTCTGCTGTGGGCGTGCCCCGGCCTCTGCTCAGCCTGGCTGTGCACGGGTTGGTTCTGCTCTCACGGGCGCGCCATCCACCCCAGCGTGAAGGCGCCCTGCCCTGCCCCGGGCTCGTCCTCCACCCCAGGTGAGGCGCCCTCCGCCCCTGTCCGCCGCCCCACCTCTCTGTGCACCGGTTCGGCGCGCCCCGCTGGCCCCGGCCCGCTTGGAGCACACGTTGCCCCACTGGCCATGGGCCCACGGCTGCGGCCTGGCCCAGCTCGCGGCCACCTGCCAACACACTGGCCGCGGGCTCCTGGCCTCGGCGCGCGGCGCGGCAGCCGTGCCCGGTGGCGCCCCGCCCGCCGCCCGCCGCTGGGGCGCCGCAGTGCGCGCTCTGCCGCGGGCCCCACTGGCCCCAGCCCGTTTGGCGCACACGCCGCCCCACTGGCCATGGACCCTGCAGGTTGGCCACCGCCCCTGCCGCTAGCTCGCGCTGCCCCGCCTTGGGGGGCACCGCCGCTGCGGCGCCCTTTTTGCCTCCCGGCTGCCCGCCGAGAGCCCGCGCCCAGTTTCCGCTTCCGCTGGGCGCCGCCCGGTCCTCGGCTGTGATGCGTGCGCCGGCCCCATGGGCTCGGCTCGCTGCCTTTTTGCCCTCCCCCCTGCCGCCCCTGGCCCCTGGCCTTTGGCGTGGCCTCTACGCTCCGCTCTGCGGCAGCCCGGCACTCTCCCGCCGCTCAGCTTTGCCTGGCCTCTTCTCCGTCTCTCGCCGCCTCGCCCCCGCGCCCGCGCCGCAGTCGCGCTTCGCTTCCGCCGCGCTGCGCCGGCGCAAGGCCACACGTTCAGCCCGCCGCAGCCGACCCGCGCAGCCACCGCTTGCCCTCCCCTACCGCGCTCGCGGCCCGCCGCCCCCGCAGCGCCCCACTTACTGGGCCCCGCCCTGCGGCCGCCGGCTCCTCCCCTGGGTGCGCCCGCGATGCCGCCCCGCGCTCGCTGCCAGGGGCTGCCCTGCGGCTCGGCCGCCCCGCTCGCGCCCCCGCGGCCTCGCCGCGTGAATGCGCTCTCTTTTCTCGCTTCCTGTCTCTGCGGCCGCCTCTCTTCTTTTCCCCTCCTCTTGCGCGCGGGACAGTTCGCAATGCCGTAGCCCAGGCTGCTTGGACGCGCGAGCGGATTGCCCCTGCCGCGCTGCGACGGAAAAAGTGTCGACTGCGCGCCCTTGGGGAAGGCAGAGGGGGCAGGCCTTCTCAGAAGGCTCAGAAGGCCCCAGGCTTTCTGAGATGCTTTCCTAGCTTTCTCTGAAGCCCCGCCGCCTTCTCTGGGAATGCCTGCCCCCTCTCATTTCCCCCGTCGGTGCGCGGCCGAGTGTGATTCGATTTGATTTGGTTCATCCGACCTTGTCCAGCTGCCTGCTGCAGGTCCCGCCGCCGTGCCATCCCAGCATTCTGGGTGGCGGCTCTTGGGGAGGGCACCAGAGGCCGTCACGTGTGACACCTCGTGTCCCCGTTCCTGGGAGAGCCGGAGCACGTGAGGCACTCTTCTGCGTCGTGTCGGGTGTTCTCTTCTCCTCGTCGTTGTCTTCCTTGCTTGCGTCCGTCCTTTCTTGGGCTTTTGTGAGGCCATATTGAGCGGCCCCTTGGGCCACCTTGGGACGTTTTGGGGCCCTCGTGGGCTGTAGTAGAGTTCTTTTGGGCCGTCTTGGGGCCCTCGTGGCCGTTTGCGGGGTCTCTGGTGCCCGTCGTGGACATGTCTTGAGACCGTCAGTGGCCGTCGAGAGGTCCTCTGATCTTCGAAGGGCCTCTTGCCAGTTTGGGGCCCACTTGGGTCTAGGGGCCTTTGGGGTGTCTTGATGCCGTCTTGGAGGATTGTTGGGCCGTTTGGGGGCCCTCAGGGGCCGTCTTGGGGTCATCTTGGGGGCTTCCAGGGCCGTCTGGAGCTGAAAGAGGTCCGGAAAAGGTGAAACCACCCCATATCTTGAGACACCGCAGAGAAACGTACGATTTTGGCCTCGCGCCCTACCGGGGTCTGGTCGTGTTCTCGGGGCGTCTCGGGGGCCACCTTCGGCCCTCCTGAAACCATCTTCGTTCCTCCTGAAGTCAAGGGCAGAAAAAAACCGCCCCTTGCCCTGGTATACGGGGCGCTGTGCGCTAAAACTCCTATGGGCCGGCAGGGCAAACCCTGCGTGGTGTGCGGCGACCTGGCGGCTCTGGGCTCTGGGGGTGACCAGGAAGGTTACAGACCACGCGCTCGTCACCCAGGGCAGGGCCGTGTTTTCGTCACTCCATGAAGCCATCTGCGGCCCGGCCGTCTTGCGGGTACCTTGGGCCGTCTTGACGGCCTCGGCGGCCTGTCGCGGCCTTCTCGAGGCTCGGGGCGCGGGCCCCTCGTTGTCCCGCGAGGGATCGTAGCCTGGGGTGTGTGGGCCCGTTGCGTCCTTTCGAGGGATCGTGGCCTCGGGAGGGGGGATGGTGCACGTAATGCTCTGCTAACAGAGGGGGGGCTTCAATTATTGCAGAAACCCTACCAGGCAGCCCTTCACATTCCAGCTCGCCTCAACATGCCAGGGGTCTCTGTTGCGGATGTTGCGCCATCTCTGGTCGCATATGATCTTGGACAGACAATGGAAAGAACCACGGTCACTGAAGTGGTTTCGCCTCGTCGTCGTCGTGCTTACCGCCTTCCTCTTCCTCGCCCTCGAAGTCCTCCTCGTCCTCTTCCGCCCCGCCCTTCTTTTCCAAGTCTCCGTCCTAATTGCCCCTCCTTGCTCGTGTCTCCCCTATGCCGCCCGGGCGTCCGCATTTGGTGGGTGAGCAAAATTCTGACACGTGGGTGGCTTCTTATCTCTTCCCATTTCTCCTCCCCCTCTTCGTCTTCCTCTCCTTCTTCGAAGGTCCAGTCTGACCTTGCTTGCTCAAGTCTGGCAATTTGATGCCCTTCGGCCCAGCCTGCCACCGTGCGTGGGTTTTGGGTCAGAGTTCTCAGGGATGCTTCTTGGGGTCTGTTCGGAGCGCTCTCGAGGACCTCTTGGGGCCAGTTTTGGGGCCTCTTGGGAGCCTCTTGGGGGCCTTTTGGGGTCCTCTTGGGCCTCTTGGAGGTCTCTAAGGGCCTCTCAGGGGCCTGTTAGGGGCCTCTTGGGGCCTCTTGGGGGCCACTCGGGTTAAATGTCAGTTCGGATCCCCCATCTGGGCCCCCTCTTGGAGCTTCTTTGGGGCCTCTCAGGCCGTCTCGGGCGTCTCTTCGGCCGTTTTGGGACCCTCTTGGAGGCCTCTTGGGCCGCCAAGGGGCGATCTTGGGGGCCCCTTGGGGCGTCTTGGAGGCTTCTTGGGCCGTCTTGGGGCCATCTTGGGCGTCTTAGTGCGACCTTTGGGCGTCTCGTGGCCCTCTTGGGCCGTCTTGGGAGCCTCCTGGGGCTCTCTTGGCCCGCCTTGGGCCCCCGTGGGCCCCAAGAAGTGCCGCGGGGAGGTGCTGGAAACCCCAGGGGGCACGCGCCAAGCTGAAGAGGATTTGGTACTCTGGGCTCCGGGCCCCGGAGAGACCCCTCAGGAGTGGGGACTGAGGCTTAGAGGTTCGTGATAGGACTTGAGGGCACGGTGGCGGATGTCACGTGTGGTCTAGAGCTGGCTGATGGCACTCTTGTGCGGTCTTGTCTACTCTGTACTCCCACGACCAGGGATGATATCCAGCTGCCTGCGGCAAGTCCCGCAACCGTGCCAGTCCAGCATGTTGGGTGGTGACCATTCGAGGGGGCCCGGGCGGCCGTCAAGTGTGACATGTCGGGCCTCTTGAAGGTTCTGTGGGCCTCTTGAGAGGGGTTCTTTTCAAGTCTTTTGGGGTCCCTTCATGGCAGCGCCTTGGGGGCGACTCGGGGGCGCCTCGGGGGCTCTTGGGGGCTCCTTGGGCCGTCTGAGGCCGCCTTTCAGATTCCATCTTGGGGGGCTCTCTGGGTATTCTTTCCGTCTGAACGTCAACTTTGGCTGACTCGGGGTCCTCTTGGGCCGCTCTTGGGCCGCTCTTGGGCCATCTTGGCGCACTCTTGGCCGTCTTGGGGCCTTGGTGCCCTCCGGGGCCGTCTTGAGGCCATCTTGGAGGCTTCTGGAGCTGTCTTGAGCCCACGACGGCTCGCAATGGCGAGAATGCGAACAGCTTTCAAACCGACGGACAGTCCATGATGCTGGCCTCGTCGGGCCTTGCTGGAGGCCGTGCTGGAACCCTCCGGGGCCGCCTCGGCGGCCTTTGGGGGCCGCCCCGAGGCCGCCTCGGGCCCCTCTGTGGGCGGAGGCTTCCCGGGCCCTCTCGGCGGCCCTGCGGGCCTGCCGGGCCCGTCAGGCCTATACCACCTTCGAGGCCATCTGCTGGGGCGCCGGGGTCCCCGGAGAGAGCGCCGGGGAGGCGCCCTGGCCGCCCAGGGAGCCCCAGGGGAGCAGGGGGCGGTGCACGCAGCGGGGCGCGGCGGGAGCTCCTCCTCCTCCTCCTCCTCCTTCTTTTCCTCCTCCTCCTCCTTCTTTTCATCCTCCTCCTTCTTTTCCTCCTCCTCCTCCTCCTTCTTTTCCTCCTCCTCCTCCTCCTTTTCCTCCTCCTCCTCCTTCTTTTCCTCCTCCTCCTCCTCCTCCTCCTCCTCCTTGGTGTTCAGAACTTTTCTACGTCGCAGGGGGGTCCCTCAGAAGACTGGCAAGAAGCCCTGCCGGGCAACGCCCGGCATTCTGCCACGCCCCAACCTGCGTAGGCGCGGCGGCGGATGGCATGGCCTTGTCTGACATGACGTGGTACCTACTTGGGATGTGGGACCGGTTCGGGCGCTCAATGATGGGGAGGGAGATCGCCTCCTGGGACCCTCTTGGTGGCTGCTTGGAGGCCGTCTCTGGGAGTCTTTATGGACGCTTCTTCGGTCCGCCAGTGGCCCCTCGCGGGCTGTCCTGCGGGCCTCTTGCGGGCCTCTTGGTGGCGTCCCGGGGGCCCTTTTGTGGGGGCCGCTCGGGAGCCCTCGGGGGCGAGGCGAAGTGGCACGACACCGTTTGGGGGATCCCCTGGGAGCCCGCAGGGTGTCGGCCGCAGGTGAAGAGGGACCCTTCGCTGGAATCACCCCTGGTGCGTGTGGGCTCGTCGGGGTCCCCCCGATCGTTGAGCGCGATGCGATAGCGGCCGCTTGTGCGCTTGGATTTGGCCACCTTGCGCCCCTCCCTTGGTCCGCGCGCCAGGGGTCACTCTTGCCCAGGGTCGCTCTTGCGTGTGGCCGAAGAGGGGCCAAGAGCACGTTGTGCAAGGGCGCCCTCGACGGCGCGAAGTTATTCGCGCTTCTCGCTTCGCGGTTCTGCTCCGATTCCCCCTCCTCATCCTCCTCTTCTCCCCTGGGAGGCGACGCGAGAACGCGAAGTCAATCGCACTTCGCGCTTCGCGCAGCGCGAAGCGCGAAGTTGGGAGCCCTTGGTTGTGTTTGGTGTGTTGCGCATTCGCGTCTTCGCCGCAGAGGCGAGGCGGGAAGCCCTGGGACGCAGCAGTCAATCCGCCACATGTTGGACCGCTGGGAGGGGTAGGCCCCGGCCTCACAAAGCCTGGAGAGAGCAGGCCTATTAAGACTCACCTTGGCCCTTTGCCACCAGCCGCCTTCAGAGGATGGTTGAACTTCTCGGGAGCAGTCGTTGGTTGCCAGCCCTGGCCTGGCCCCCATGCCTCAAGTCGGGCCTGTCCCTCTACAGGAGAGATATTCCCAAATAGTACAGAAATAGTCTGGGGACGACTTTTGACCATGTTTGACTATTTTTTTTGTGCGTACCTATACGACCACCCTGCGGGTGATCAGGAGGTTGGGGGGGGAGGGGCTCAGCAATGGGCAACAGTGGTACGACCACCCTTCGGGTGATAAAGAGGTGAGGGGGGGTCAACGTCGCACTCGATCGATCTCACTATCGATCTCACTATCGATCTCACTCGATCGATCTCGCTCGATCAATCTCACAATCGATATCACTATCGATCTCACTATCGATCTCACAATCGATCTCACAATCGATCTCACTATCGATCTCACGATCGATCTCATAATAGATCTCACAATCGATCTCATTATCGATCTCACTATCGATCTCACGATTGATCTCACAATCGATCTCACGACGGGACACCGACGGGACACCGCAGGACACCGACGGGACACCGACGGGACACCGGCGGGACAACGGCGGGACACCGCGCGGCCCCGAACGCCGGGTCGCCAAACATTTGGTCCAGCCGCGCCTCAGCCACAGGGGACTTTCCTCTCGCCCACCCACGCAGCTTCGCCTCGCCCGCACGCACGGCACGCACGAACACGAAACCGAAATCGATTTCCCGGTAGGGGGGCTCTCCGTTCCTATTCGATCTCACCCCCCAACCTCCGATTTTAATTTTTCTTTCAAAATCTGCCTGTAGGGGGACACGCCTGACCTAACCCATGCCCTCAGAAGCCCCCCCCCGATTCTTGTCATGGCGGTGGCCGAAGATCTGAGGGCTGGACAAGAAAGGTATGGCTGCCAATCTATGTTTAAGTCGGGCATGTCCCTCTACAGGAGGAATCTTCAAAAATAGCCCCAAAATAGTATGGGGATTCTTTTCCGACATTTGTTTTGTTATTTTTGGTGTATTTTTATTTTGGTCCGTCCGAAATCCGCCTGTAGGGGGACATGGCCGACCTAAATCTATGTCTCGGTTGCCAGCCAGGGGGGGAGGTGAGAAGGGGCGGGCCTTCTGACGAGGCTCGGAAGGCCACGGGCCTTCTGAGAAGCTCTCGAAGCCTCCCCCCGAAGACGCAGAGCACTTCTCGGAAGGCGCGAGGGCTTCTCAGAAGCCCCTGCCGCCTTCTGAGAATGCCTCCTCAGCCTCCTCACCTCCTCCTCCTCCTCACTTCTGAGAATGCCTCCTCCTCCTCCTCCTTCTGAGAATGCCTCCTCCTCCTCCTCACTTCCCCCCGTCGCTCGGCCGCCGCGTTTGCTTTCCGGGCCGGGTCTCCGGCGGCCGTTCACGGGGCGATGCTGGAACGCCCTCGGGCGAGCTCCCGGAAAGGCCGAGGACCGACGCCAAACGACCGAGCACGTGGAGCCTCGAACCCGTGGCCCCCCCCCCCCGCTCGCCGCCGCCTCGCTGCCCCTCTCCATCGCCTTCCCCCCATTCGCTCGCCGCCGGATGTCTGGCTTCGGCGTCGCCCGAAAGCCTCCCAGGACCCCGCCGGGCCCAGAGGTCCCGACCAGTCGCGCGCGGGGCGCGTGCGGCAACGCGCCGCCTTCCCCCCTCCCTTCCTCCCTCCCTCCTTGCCTCCCTCCCTCCCTCCCCTCCCTCTCCTCCCTCCCTCCTTGCCTCCCTCTCTCCCTCCCTCCCCCCCCCTCTCTGCTCCGAAGACGCAGGAGCGTATTTCTTTGT